AGACGGCGCACACTGGAGAAGCAAACCATGAGATGCAGTGAGACATATATAACGCAGAATGCGCTTCACAGCTGACCAATGGGATGTTGTGGGCGCATGAAGAAACTGACAGACACGATTGACTGCATAAGAGACATCTGGTCTGGTGATAGTAAGATACTACAGGCCTCCAACAAGACTACGGTACTCAGTGGCATCATCAGGGGAGAGAGGGTCTCCATCAAAAGCAGACAACCGATCAGTGGCAGACATAGGAGTAGTGACAGGTTTACACTGCAGCATGCCAGCACGACGCAACAAATCCAGAGCGTACTTCTTCTGAGTAAGAGTGACTCCAGCAGAAGGCCGTGAAACCTCCAGACCAAGGAAGAAGTGCAGAGCACCGAGATCCTTGACAGCAAAATCACCACTCAACGCAGCCACAAGACGATCTGCCGCAACATCTGAGGAACTGATGAGAATAATATCATCAACATAGACCAGTAAATACATCGTAACCTCAGGGCATTGAAGAAGAAACAGCGATGTGTCAGCAGTAGAGGGAATGAACCCAAGTGCTCGCAAAACCGAACCAAGACGTGCATGCCAGGCACGGGGAGCCTGCTTAAGCCCATAGAGCGCCTTAAAAAGACGACAGAGATGATTAGGACGTGCAGGATCCACAAACCCTGGTGGCTGACGCATATAAACCTCCTCCTCCAAAACTCCATGCAAAAAATGTTCTGCACATCAAGCTGACGGAGAAACCATCCTCGAGTAACAGCAAGGGATAGTAGCAGACGAATGGTAGTGGGCTTGATAACTGGACTGAACGGGTCTTCATAGTCAAGACCATACCTCTGTTTGAAGCCCTTAGCCACTAGCCTTGCCTTGTAACGCTCGATGGAGCCATCAGCATGCCGTTTAACTTTAAACACCCACTTAGAGTCAATGATATTGACCCCAGATACTGGAGGAACAAGCTGCCAGGTGTCATTCTTCAGCAACGCTTGAAACTCCTGTTCCATCGCGGTACGCCAGTGGGGAATGCGAAGTGCAGCCTGAAAATGGCGAGGCTCCGCAGTGGGATCCTCAGCAGCATGAGCCATGCACGCGGCGAGCCACGTGACAGTCCCATCGGTCCGGATCTTAGGCTGAAAAACACCTGTCTGACTGCGCGTGCGATGTCGAGGAGCAGCAGGTTGTGGTGGCGACGCATGGCTTGATGCAGGCGACGAAAGAAGCGACCCCGAGTCGCCAAGGCTCACGCCAGAGCCACTGGGCGTCAGAGAGGTGGGCGGTGTGACGCCCGACACGGCCACGTCGCCCAGGTCCACGCTGGAGCCACTGGGTGCTGAAGGAGCGGGCGAGCCTGGGGTGGCCGGCCCATCGGCAGCCGAAGGCGGCCCATGCGAGCCTGGCGTGGCCGGCCCAGGAGCGACCTCCTGCAAGGCCGGCTCGGGCGACTCCGCCGAGGCGGGCGAGGGCGACGCTCGCGGGGCGGCGTCGGGTGATGCCCGCGAGGCAGCTGCGGGCGCAGCTCTCGCGGGTTGCGGAGTACCGCCCGGTATGCATGCCCCATGCATGCGATCGTCCTCTGGACGCGCCGGTGCCTGTTCCTCAAGAAGCTCAAGACAAGCACCACGGCCAACACCTGCAGCATGGTTAGGGAGCAACACAGGAGCATATGCAACATCCACAAATTGATCAGGCACAGGTGTGGTAGAAGAAGCGTCTTGCATAAGAGTGATAGAGGTATTCGGAAGTGCACGAAAGGGAAACACATTCTCATAAAAAAATGTCACGAGAAATGTAAACGCGATTGGTGGGAACATGTAGGCATTTGTACCCTTTGTGAAGGGAACTATACCCAAGAAAGACGCACTTTTTCGATCGAAACTCTAGCTTATGTTTATTATATGGACGCAAATGAGGCCAACAGGCACACCCGAAGACTTTGAGAAAGGTGTAGTCTGGGATTTCATTGAGCAAGAGTTCAAGTGAAGTTTTCATATTCAGTAGTCGTGAAGGCAGCCTATTGATCAAAAAACAGGCAGTGGAGAAAGCATCACTCCAGAACCTAAAAGGTACGGAGGCATGAGCTAATAAGGTGATGCCAGTTTCTACAAGGTGACGATGCTTACGTTCAGCAGTCCCATTCTGCTGATGCGTATGGGGGCAAGACACACGGTGTGCAATCCCAAGCTTGTTAAAGAATGAGTTGAGGTTGTGATATTCACCCCCCCCCCCCTGTCGCTTTGGACATGAATAATTTTCTGGCAAAGGAGACGCTCAACATGTGCTTGAAACTGGACAAACACATCAAACACATCAGATTTTTCTTAATAAGATAGAGCCAGGTAAACCGACTGTAAGTATCAATGAAACTGACATAATAATTGTGGCCACTAATAGACGTTTGGGCATGACCCCATACATCGGAAAAAATAAGCTCAAGAGGATGTTTCACAACACGACTAGACTCTAAAAACGGGAGTTGGTGACCCTTGCCCTGCTGACAGGCATCACAAATAGTTTCAGCAGTTTTATTTGACACAACTGGTAGCTCATGAAGATGCAACACATGACGGACTATGGGAGCGGCAGGATGACCAAGTCGCGCGTGCCAATGTGTAGGCGAGACACGAACACCACTGAACGCCTGAGGAGAAAACTGCATGGGCGGTGCGGTTGGCGCGTCAAGTGCATACAAGCCACGGCGAAGACGACCGCTAAGAAGAACGACCCTCGTGTCCCGATCCTTGATAAAGAAACGAAAAGGGTGAAATTCAGCAAGGACATTATTGTCACGAGTAAGTTGTGGAACAGACAACAAACTACGCGAAGCAGTGGGAATACGGAGGATGTTAGACAGATGCAGTTTTCGTGAATTGTGTGCAAGAAGGGATGCCTGACCAACATGGGAGATGCGCATACCTGCTCCGTTGGCGGTGTGCACATGATCATGACCGCGATATGGCTCCTGGACTGAAAGCTTGCTCATGTCGTTGGTGAGGTGGTTGGTAGCTCCCGTGTCCATGTACCACGAGGGATCAATCGAGTAGGATGGAGTACGCCCGTGCTCATGACCGACCACCGCAGCGGCCGCCTGTTTTTCATTCCCCTTGCCATTGTTGCCGAGGCCAAGGAAATCTTGCTTGTAGCGGCGATGACAGCGAGAAGCTACGTGGCGCTCAATCCCACACAGTTGGCATGCCTGCTGAGCACCACAACTGGGGCAGCAAGCCACCGGCCGTGATCCGCCTGTGATGGACGGCGCGGCGCCCCGTGAGGGCTGAGATGGAACCGCCGGCTTGACAGGGAGCGATGGCTTCTGCGATTTGCCACGGGTTGCGGCGTTAGCAGAGGCAAAACTCGGAGTAGATCGACGCGCTTTGATGCGATGTTCGCGACCAAGGAGCCGCGCATACAGTTCCCGTGGCGGGAGAGGCGCCTCGCGTCCATGGACGTTCTCAATGAGATTGTCATAGTCATCGTCGAGGCCATTGAGCACATGAGTGGTGAAGTCCTCGTCTCCAAGGGGCTGGCCAATGGAGGCCTGCGTGTCTGCAAGACCTGACATCTTGTTGAGGTACTCCGTGATGGTGAGGCCACCAAGCTTGGTCTCCTCCAACTCAGTGCGGATAGAGTGAGCACGCGCCTGAGACTGAGAGGCAGAACTGCTGTGAAGTGCAGACCAAGCCTCCTGAGCTGTCTCGGCGAAGATGACAAGTGACGACACGCTCGGAGTTAGTGAGGACTGAATGGCCGAAAGTATCGCATGGTCTTGAGCCACCCACACATGATGAGCCGGGTGATACGGCGGCGGGCACGGGATGGAGCCATCAACATAGCCCTCCAAGTAGCGACTCCGTAGGAGAGGTAGCACCTGCGCCCGCCAGCACAGGTAGTTGTCCGGTGTAAGCTTCACCGGAAGGAGATGCGAGAAGTAGAACGGCGATGGCGCCGGAGCATAACCCGCATGGGGACCCATGTTCTGCACATCATGGGGAGCAAGGGCCAAGGACGCCTCGTAGCCAGGACCAGCAGGGGCATCGACCGGACCAGGCGGGGCCACCGAAGACACGGCGGGCGCGGCACCGTAGGCCGCACCATAGGGCGACGACGCCATCTGTGATGACGGAGGCGTCAGCCAGGCGGAAGGCAACGGTGGCGCGGCGCCGTAGGTTGGTGCAGGGGCGCCGTACCACGGAGCGTAGGGCTGGGTCGCGCCATAGTAGGGCGGAGGGGCTCCGTAGGGTTGGGGGGGAGCCACCCCGTAGGCGGACGGTGCAGAGCCGCGAAGAGGTGGCGGCGCGAAGGCGAAGGTCGAGGGCGAGGCGCCGCCAGCAGCGATCGGCGGCTGGGGAAGGCCCGGCCCGCCCTGCTCCTGCCCGCCCTGCCCGCCCTGCAGATGGCCTTTGGCGGGCAGCGGCGGCTGCCGCCAGGCCGTGGCGAGTGGGGGGACGCGAGGAAGGGCGACGAGGGGGCGACCGGCGCGCCAGCAGGGGAGGAAGCCGAGGCGGCGGCGGAGTTAGCGAAGGCCATCGGGCGAGGCGGCGGCAACGATCGGCGGCGCAAGGGGTGCAGCGGAAGACGGAAAACCCTAGTCTGATACCATGTAAGACCAGGATATTGGGGCAACTGCTCGACACCCTTGGGGGTGCGGCTATGTCATTATATATAAGTACCAAATGGTACGAGTATAAGTACAGGACGTATACACAAGTCTACGTATACATATACAGTCTAACAGCGACGACGTGGCGGCGCTCCCGGAGGTGTTCCGCGACGAGCTGGAGCGCGGCGGGGGCCTCGTCGTGCCGTGGTGCCCACAGCCGGCGGTGCTGAAGCACGCGGCGGCGGGCCTTTTCGTGACCCACTGTGGGTGGAACTCGCTTCTAGAGTCGGTGGTGGCCGGCCTGCCGGTTCTCGCCTGGCCGGTCTTCGCCGAGCAGACGACCAACTGCAGGCAGGTGCTTGAGTGCTGGCGGAACGGCATGGCTCTTCCAGAGGAGGTGGAGAGCGGCGCCGTGTCGAGGCTGGTGAAGGAGATGATGGCCGGGGAGTTGGGGAAGGAGAAAAGGGCCAAAGCGGCGGAGTGGAGAGCCGCGGCCGAGGCGGCGGCCATGGACGGCGGCTCGTCGTTGCGCAGCGTCGACCGACTGGTCAACGATGTGCTGCTGCTCGGGAACAAGTGAGACTGCATCCATTGCTCACTTGTGTTACCACTGTTATTCATGTTACTTGAGTAGAGCATCTACAGAAATCCGACCCTCCGATATTTCAAATTAGAAATCCCGAATACATATCATTACATGTAACGTAGAACAATCTTTAAGCAGATCTCGTCCGAGGTGTCCATGTGTCGGCCGGCTGCGATCCGCAGGGTGTTTGTCCGGTCGCCGGCAAGGCAGAGTAGGGCATGAGACACGAGCCGGCTCACGGGACTCAAGGTGCCGCCGTCTCCCATGCTCTAGTCTTCCTCGTTGGAGCTCGGAACCCGGACGGTACCGGTGGACGTTAGATCGATGATGAATCCGTCCTGAAACGAGCCGGCTACATCCACCCCGATGCGGTTGCGGCGTCCGGACTGGTGCACCATACGGGGTACCGGATAATGTGACTCTGCCTCGCCAATATCCACCGCCGCGAGGATTCCTGCCGCCTCCGGCGCCTGTTGCCTTGGGCGACGGTAACGTCGCGTCATGTTTGCGTTAGACGACACCCATGGTGCGTCCATGGCCTCGGTGCGCCAATAGAGGGGTCGCGCGTCCGCTATCGCGTTCGGACGCCAGACTGACCACATCGCCTCCGGCGAGGCAGCAAGACGCACCTAGCGCCGGATCCTTGCGATATTTGGGCCGATGCAATATATTCCCGACGGAAGGAGTCCGAGTGGTGCCTCGCACGGGCCTCCTCCCGGGAGCGGCGCGCAAGCCGGACAACCATCTCCTCCTCACGTCCGCGTGGGATAGTTCGGGATCGACGGATCTGGAGGTGAAGGACTTGGATCCGCTGGCCGCCGTGCCGGAGACGCCCGAAGATCGCCGGATGGGAGCTTGGGTGGCGGAGGGGAGTGGATTGAAGTGGCAAGGGTTTGGTCCAGCGAGCAGATAATGCGAAATATATATGGGGTTGGGTGGGTCAGCGTGGGCCGGATCCGACATGACGGACGTGCCCGGGCGCACCATATTTGTCTCATATTTGGTGTTGATACGAGGGGCGTCGGTCAGCCCAACCATTTGAGACCCGTTAATTTGAAACGCAAATCTGAGTCATATTTTCTTAACCGGGTAGTGACCGGGCCGTCCGTCTGGGCGTTTGAGGCGGGTTTAGTGCACCTGGCTGTAGATGATCTTAGATAGCAATAAATTAAAACGTGCCATGTGATACGGAGTACGTACACGATAGCCTCTTTCTTTTTTGGAAAAAGTCCAAAATAAACCTTGAATTTATAGGCAAAAGCTAAACCGAACCCCGAACTCTCAATCCCTGAAATCACCACACCAAACTCTCGAATCCCGGTCTATTTTAAACCTAAAGAGGACTTCGCCGGTATTTGCTGAACTGGGCCGGCCCAGTAGCGAGTCACTCACGCCCGCACACTAATTTTATTTATCTTAGTTTTTTTTCTTTTATGTCTTCTTTTCTTTCTTCATTTTTACACATGTCTAATTTTTATCAGTAACTAATGTAATTTTTTAACGCACACATTAAATATTTGGAAAAACTTTTGATATTTTCAAATACATTATGGATATTTTTAAATTAAATGTTTTCAAGACTTTTTTGACTACATGGTAATATTTTCCAAATACATGTTCTACATTTTCTTAATGACAATAAACATTTTATAAAACTACAAAAACACTCTTTTACATGGTTCAACATTTTTAAATTTGCATACACTTTTTTCAAACACATGTCACGTATATTTTGTTAAGGTTATGACATATTTTTTCACAACATGCAAACATTTTTTTAAATACTTGTTTGACCCTAAACACGTTTTCAAAGTTCGACGCTAAATACATTTTCAAAGTTCGACGCTAAATACATGAGAAATAAATATGTTTTCAATACTTGTTTAACCCTAAAAAAATCAAAGTTCGACGCTTTGGTTTCTGATTAAATATTTTCGGCCTCTTATTATGTTTTTTTTGAGGGGTCTTATTATGTAAGTCATAGTCGTGTGGTGTACTGGCTAGCGAAATCAGGTCAACCCTGCCAGGTCCAAAGTTCGACTCCACGGCATGTTTTTCTCTTTTGGAATTATTACGTCACGCATTAAGAAAACGAAAGAAAGAATTTTAATGGCGCGTGATAAGTGGAAAAAACTCGTTTTATGTCTGGTGGGCCGGCCCAGTCGAGTCTGTGGCCAACAATCCAAAACATTTTTTAAAAACATTATTTACGAAATAATTTAAGAAATTCGAAAAACATTATTAAAAAATGTGACACAATTCAAAATCCGAAACATTTTATATAGCATGTGAAAAACTGTTGGATTCGGAATATTTTTTTGACAAATGTGATTTTTTTTAAATAGCGATTTTTTAGAACAGTGCGAATAGAATTTCAGCATTCCAAATATTGTTAGAAAAACACAAAATGAATTGAATTCGTGAAAAAAATAAAACAGGAACATTTTTTAACTTCTGAACTATTTTAGAAATATGCGAACATTTTTTGAACTTCACGAATTCTTATCCTGTTATAGTGGGCCGGCCCAAATTCTTGTCCTTGTGGGTAGCTGGTTATCCCGGTCGGGATTGTAGTATTCCCGGTGTGGCAAACAGGTTTAGGGTCAGAAATAGACCGGGATAACAAGTTCAGAGTGGCAATTTCCGGGATTCAAAGTTCAGGGTTTGATTTAACTTTTGTCTACAACTTTAAGGTTTATTTTAGACCTTTTTCTTCTTTTTTCGAACACTTGTGGCGGCATATTAGGACAGAGGATTGAGTAGCTTCGCTTTGGAAGGTGAGGTATCGCTTTTCTGTTGCAACACGGACAAGGGAAGGTGAGATGTCGCTTGCAACGCGGGCCCGACCCAGCCAGCGGCGTCAGCAGCATGGCCAATAGCTAGCTAGCTTTGTCTCAAATCGTATTCAGACCGGAACTTGATTAATTTATCTATTGATGATCTATTATTATACGTACGAATTGCCGATCCGTCCAATATGCAGTGCACATTTCGTCCCGGCCCTGGGTGCATGTGCCGTGTACGATATGGCTAGACTTAACTTGGTGATCGACCGACTTAGAACATCTCTAGCAAACAGTGACGTAGCCAGGGTGTGGTTCAAAAATTACTTTTTTTTTGTATCCTATATACAGGCTATGGGGAAAATACCACCCTGTCCGTCCCCCTAGCTATGTCGCTACTAGCAAATCGCCTTGTCGCTATAAAAACCACAGTTCTAGGGATTGCGAAGAAAAATCGTCCCACGCAGATCCCGTAAAATGGACCGCCCCCAAAAAAAATTGACGGGTATATTTCGGTCCTCCCACC